TGGAAGAGGTGCAGCCAGAATTTTCCTTAGAAGTGAGGATGGTGAGATTTTGTCTAACATGGTTTAGGCATTTTCTCAGCAGGAGCTAATGTTTGGTGAAAGATATCATGTTTGGAAGAGACAATGAAAAACAGGAAGAGCCCCAAGAAGATGAACGGGCACAGCGGCTGAAACAGCAGGCTTATGCCCTGCAGAGGTTGTGAGGATGGTGCAGGGCTGTGGACACAGGGTCACCATGAGTTAGGGTTGAATCGATGGCACCTTTAATAAAAACAGGCGTAGGCGTCTCAGTTCTATTACAGAAAGAGGACTTTGACACTGTTTAGATCTCAAAGACTCCTGAAGTAACAGAGGTGAAAGTGCTTTGGAGAATGTAACATACATAAAATATTGTGGGAGAAGCTGGGCAGTCTCCTCCCACATGATTATGTGCCTCTGAAAACCTGCTGGAGGGTCAACTATGGGGTTAGATCCGACTTGATGGCACATGACAACAACAACAACAACGTTAAAATGAATAATCACTGATGTTAATAATATACATTCACACTGCAAGTGTATGCCTGCTCATGTTATAGGGAGAGGAGACTGGGATTAGTGTTTAGAAACCTCAGTTTAGTTAATATTCATTCAAGTATTTGTATTTTTGTTTTTGATAATTACTTTTGCATAAAATATAATACATTTACTTTTGTTGAATAAAGCTCAATTATTTGACGTCTTGTGGTAATTGGCTTAGGTTGATTCCCATTGTCCATCCCAGTGTAGACAGGCCACAATGACAATTAGGTGAGGCTCAGTGGGAAGGTAGACAGCAGCAGAGACACAAACTTGGCAGAGAGCTAAAGGTGGCAGTTACTTCCTTGAAGCATGACCTTTCTGTGCCATGCCCCTCTATGGAAGTGTTAAGTACTGTGCCCACTGATCAGGCCTCTATCTTTCATTTCTCCTCTGTTCCCGTCTCTTGGAGCTTCTGTGGTGCAGTCCACAGGGAGTCGTGCTGCTAACTCAAAGGCTTCATCTTTCTGGCAGTTCAGATCCACCAGCAGCTCTGAGGGAGAAGGATGGACAATCTCCTCCTGTGTCATTTACATTTCAGAAATCTGATAGAGCTATGAGTTGGCTCTGTTTGTATAGTAATGAGTTTCCCATCTATTTAAGCATTGTCTAGTTGTTGTGATGTACTGTCGAGCTGCCAGCAACTCATAGAGATCCTATGTACAGCAGCTCTGAACCCTGCTCTATCCTATGCCAATCTCACGGTCTCTGACACACCCAGCCTATTACCCCAGTTACCGTGTCAATCCATCTCATCAAGGGTCTTGCCCTCTTGCGCTGTCTTACTCCATAAGCATAATGTCTTACTCCAAGGACTGACCCCTTTTGTCAATATGCCTGAAATATGAGACAGATCTTCAAAATCCCTGCCTCTAAGGAGCAACTTGGTTTCAGTCTCTCCAGGATAAACTTGTTTGCTCTCTTGGCAGTCTATAGAATGTTCAATAGCAATAAAGATAACAAACAGGGCTGGAAAAGCTGAGGGAAAAGAATCATGTCCCACCTGCATAATGCTTTACCATTTATACAATGCTGTCACACACCACAGAACGTAACTGTATGGTGAGGAAAACACTGTCAAAAGATCTAAGTTCCTAGCTCTGTTTCTGCCATATAATGAGAGACCCTGACAATTCATTTCTCTGTATCTCCACGTGTAAAATAAAGAGGTCAGATTAATGAACTCCTGGGTCTATTCCAGCTTATGTAATTACTAATTTTCAAATCACCCTGTGAGAGTAGCTGTTAGGTGTTGCTGAGTTGATTCTAGTCAATCCTAACTCATAGTGGCGCCATGAACACTACAACCAAACACTGTGCGGTCCTGCATCAACCTCCCACTTGCTGTTGTTCGAGCCCATTGTTTCAGTCATCACCGTGTCAATCCATCTCACTGAAGGTCACCGTCTTTTCTTCTAACTTCACCAGGCCTGATGTCCTTCTTCAGAAACCAGTTGTAAAGTATGTGAGACAGTCTCACCATTGTTACTTCTAAAGAATATTCTGGTTGCACTTCTTCCAAGATGGGTTTGTTTATTCTTCTGGTAGTCCACCGTATATTCAGTATTCTTCACCAACACTATAATTCAAAGGCCTGCCTTAATTTTTTCACAATTTGCATATGAAGTGACATAAGGCCCAGTGGCTTGGGCCAAGTGCCCCTCGGTTCTAAAAGGGACATGTCTGCTTGGAACACTGTAAAGAGGTCTTTTGCAGTAGATGTGCCTGAGTGTAATACAGACTGCTGCTTTCATGGCTGTGAACCAAAGTATAAAGAAACACTCAACAACTTCAACCTTTTCCCATTTATCACAATGTTTTTATTGCTCTAGTTTTGAGGATTCTTTTTAAAACATTGAGCATAATCTACTGCTGTTGTTAGATGACATGGAATTGAGGATGACCCACAGCAACCCTATGAACAGCAGATCTAAACCCCATCCTATTCTATGCCATCTTCACACTTCCTGAACAAGAGCCCACTGGAGCAGTCATCATGTCAATCCATCTAGCTGAGGGTCTTCCTCTCCTTCGCTGACCCTCCACCCTTCCAAGAATTATGTCACTTGCCAAGGAATAGCCTTTCCTAGTAACATGCCCAAAGTATGGGAGGTGAAGCCTCATCATTCTTGCCTCCAAAGAGCACTCCGGCTGCATCCTCTCAAAACCTATTTATTTGTTCTTTTGGCTATCCATGGGATGTTCAGTGCTCTTCTCCAATTTCACAGCTCAAAGGCATCAATTCTTCTTCTATCATCCCTATTTCATTGACCAGCTCTCAGATGCATAGAAAGTGATCAGAAAGGCTATGATCTGAATCAGATTCACCTTAGTCCTCAAACTGACATCACTACTTAATAATTTGGAGAGTTCTCTAACTGCAGACTTTCTCAATGCAGTATGTCTCCTGATTTCCTGGCTGCTCGTACCAACAGTGTTAATTGTGGATTCAAGTAAGATGAAGGTATAGTCTTTGATCTTCATTAACAAGCGCTTCAAGTCCTCTTTGCTTCCATCAAATAACGTGGTGTCATCTGCATGTAACAGGCTGTGAATGAATCTTTGTCCAATCTAGATGACAGATGATATTCTCAACATACAGAGAAAATAAATATAGTGAAAGGATAGAACCTTGGCACATATCTTTCCTGACTTCTACATCACACAGGATTTCCTTTTTTTACTTGAATAACTGGCTGCCTTATGGTCTATGTATAGGTTCTACACAAACCAAAAAATTTCTCAAATTGCAATTTTTTGTAATGTCACTCATTTTATTGGTTAGGATCCTCACAATCAAATGCCTTTGCATACTCAACAAAAAAGGGAAACTCTGCTTCCAGCCAAGATTCCTCTGACATCAGCAATATCCTTCATTTCATGTTCTCTTTTGAATCTGACTTGAATTCCTGGCAGTTTCCTCTTGTATTGCTGTAACTGGGTTTTTTTTGTTTGTTTGTTTGGCTTTTGTTTGTTTGTTTGTTTGTTTTCATTATCTTCAGCAAAATTATTACTTGTATGTGAAATGAATGATGTTTGATAGTTTCCAAATTCTGATGGATCACCTTTATTTGGAATGGGCACATATATGGATCTCTTCCAGGAATTCTTAGTTGGCCAGCGGACAGGTATTATACAGACAAGGAAACAGAAACTAAAGAGTAGTTAAAAGGCAGGCTTCACCCCCTCTGTGGCAGATGTGGAACTAGAACCCAAATCTTCTGACTTAAGTTTCACATCTTTTTAACTTCACTCTATAGTTTACTAGAAATTTTACTCAAAAGCATTGTAAAAGTATTAATTACCTGAAAAAGTTGATTTAATAACAAAAATGTTGACCATGAGAAGTGGAAGACTGCCAGCATGAAGATATACAAAACCCATGTTGAACAGGCCACAATCTGATTGAGGTAGGTCCAGAATCCGTCTTGTTTGTATGTTGTGGTGCAATGACTGGACCAATCTGTAAATTCATAAAACAGGAACTCAATATCATAAAAGACAGCAAACTAGTCATGATCCTCTAAGAATACAAAACCACTGCAATTCTATTCAGGAAGAACAAAAAATAAGGCATCTATCAGGGATCAACTTTAGGATTTTTGTATTTTAAATGACAGTTCAACAGCTAAAGATGAGAAAGCAGTGCCTTAATGTTAATTAAACATACAAAAATCCTTGATCTATAGTTGACAGAGAAGGAATAAAGTAAAACCGTACCATAAAACCTTCACTAAAATCAGCAGATTCAAGGTAAAAATGCACTGGCAAGAAGTCAATAGCTCTAGAACGTGAAATGTGAAAATGATTATATTTAATAAAAATATTTTTCCAGAGCTTTAAAGTTTCCCTTATTTATAAAAAAAAAACATGAAATATAAGATCAGTTTAAAAAAACCTCAAATAAATCTCCCTAGAAAAATGTTCACATTAGCCATGCTGCACATTATGGGTCTACTGTAAGACTGAATTTATATTTATACTCATTGAGGGCCCCAATCATAAGAAATCTGTTAAGCACCTAGATCTTGCTGGTATCACAGCTCATAGTACAACCTAACAACAGGCAGGGAGCCCAGCAGGGGTGCACTTCTGCATCAGCACCAGAACCAGTCCTGCATAGGGTGAAAGGCCAGGCCAGAGACTTCATGAGACAGACACTCTCCAGGAATGAATACAGAGTAAGAGCATAGAGATGCAGTTCAGCGTCTCCCCAAGAAGCTAAAAACAGGCCTCACTTATGGCCCCAAGGACACTGAGCCCTAACCCCTACAACTGAGGGCAGTTCTAAGGAGAAACTGAGGGGGGAAAGAGCAGAAACAGGGAACAGATCTTTGAGATGAAGTAAATAGAATGACATCTACAGGAACTGTGAGTGTGCATCAAAGGTGGACTCTTTTTTGAAATGAGAATTTTAGAGGTTTGCACCCTGAGGTTTCTTTCATAAATGCCTTTGACAATTTGATAAGCATTTTTAGACATTTTTCCAAAGTAGCATTTAAGAGCTCCAGGGACAAGAAGAAAATGAGTTCCTGACTTTACTATCAACTCTCTATTTTAGTCCTAAAAATTGGGGTTCTTTTTCTTTTTTGAGACTCACTGGATTCCCAATCATGAATATATACCAGAATCACTCCCAGAGCAATCATCATAAACTAACAATGAAGGTAACAAGTCGAGGCAAATGATATTCACTCTAGAGCTTCTCATTAGGACATCAAAGATAGACCCATCCTATGCACTAACTATCACGAAAAAGAAAGTCATTTCTAAAAGCAGGTGGAAAAAACAGCTGCTGAATGGGAAAACATAACTACTTGCTTTCAGGCTCTGTATTTCTACTGCTTCTTTCTTTTTTTATATAATTTTTTTATAATGTGAGTTTCCATAGCACTGAAGGAAGATTTCATATCAAAGATGCAGCCATAAGTGCCCATGCAAATGATGTACCACTTTAGCTGTTCTAATGCATTCTTACCAGATGGCCATAGCAAATGATGAGAAATTTAGTACTATTCCAAGTCAACCATTCTATCTAAGAGACCTCAGTTACAAAGTTCTTCCTGGTCTCAATCTAAAGTTACTTTCCTTGTAACTTGTATGTTGTTGACTCTGAGTTTAGCTTACTATATACACTGAAAACAAATCTAAAAGGTGAAATGGAGGCTGGACAGAGACAGGAGTTGCTGCTGGATGACTGGAGAAGGGGGGACAGCAAGGCTCTAGCAACAAGAACACTGATGATAAATTTCTCATTAAAGAAATGGACACTGTTACTAATGTTCATTTTCTTGCTAATGAAACAATGACAAATAACATTATGTCTTCACCCAGCAAAGACGAATTTTATTAGAATGTAAATGGAATAAAAGTAACAAAGTATATTCAGTCTACACAGTCATAAGAAAAGGTAAGGCAAGAATGGGCCTGAGAAACAGAACTTAACAGCGGAAAATTATGAAGAGGAGGGAAGAGCCAATACATGTAATAAAACAGCAACTTGGAAAGGCTGAGCGTGATGGAAAATTGTTTCTGTCTTTATCAATACAGTCTTATGCCGGACACCGACACCCAACAAAGTTGACTATTTTTAGGGAAGAGCAGAGAGACAAGAGTGGTGTAAAGTCTGGCTCTGCTCCCTCAGGATCAAATCCAAGAGACAAGCTGGTTCACGGACCAACTTAAAAAGATTTTCCAGGAATGTACTTTACTGTCAGGCCTTAAAAGGGCAGTCCTCCCACCTGAAAGAATAATCAAAAACTCTTTTCCTTCTCACACCACAGGGCATAATCTGAAAGGCTTTAGAATTCTAATGCTCAGGATTACCAGTGGCCTTTGTCAAGGACTAAGTTCTGTGATGACAACCTTATGGCTAGTGGACCCCTGAGATGGTAACAGGGTTAGTCACTAAAGCACTTCCAGTGAGCTCAAGCTCTCCATGGGGCAGGGGCTGACAAGGGCTGATGTTCTCTTCACACCTGTGTGGGGCCCAAAAGGCCCCATTTCACCTATATGTTACATAACAATTCATGAAAATGAAACTCAAAGCAAAACAATACTTGTAATACTAGCTGTTTATTGGGAGAGGAACTGGAAGGCTCGGGGAGGGAGGCAGATGTAGAAGGAAATTTCTTTCAAAAACTAACTCGTAAAACACTACACAACCTGGGTGGCAGTGGAGGACATTATGCTGAATGAACTATCTCAGTCACAAATACTACATATATAACACCACTGTTATAGAGTAAGACTGCTACGGAGAGTTGGGAGGAGAATAGGATAAGAGTGTATAGCTAATGAACACTGCATTGGAACAGATGAAGGAAAGAATCATTTAAAAGAAATATATTATTGCGCATTATACGTATGACAATTGTCCAGAATAAGAGGTACATTGCAAAAAGGACTGGGGGAGGGGGGAGAGGGAGGTAACTGTGCAACAATGAATGAATTTTTTTTTAAAAAAAGGAAGGTGAAGGGATCTCTGGTGGCCTAGTGGCAAGAAACTGCACTGCAATCCCAGAGGTACAAGGTTTGAATCCACCAGATGCTCTACTGGAGAAGGAAGGACAATCTCCTCCTGTACCAGTCAGATCTGATTTGACAGTACACGCATACAAAATAATAAAATAAAAATAAGGAAGGTGAACCAAGGGGGTAACAAGGGGCAGGAAATGGGAAACAATGAATGAATGAAAATCCAACTTTTCTGTAAACTTTTGTTAAAATCACAATTAAAAGAAAAAATTTTATTTAAAAAAAAAAAACAAACCTAAACTAAATAATCATTAAACCATAGAAAGTGAGAAATAAATAAAGAAATAACCCAAGAGAGTGAGAAGGATAAAGGCTGGGTTGTGCCAGGGATATTCAAGGAGGAAAATTTTAAAAAAAGGAACAAACAAGATTTAACTTTTTCCTGAATTTCTTGGTTAAAAGTGAAGCCTTTCTTCTAGAGCTTAATTGCCCCAAAGCCTTAAAAATATGTACCAGATTTCCCAAAGAACAAGTAAGTCTGTCTTGGAGGAAGGGCAACCATAGTAGTCCATACAGGCAAAGATGACACTTTGTCTCACATGCCTTGGGTATTTTGTCAGGAGTGGCTAGTCCTTAGAAAGACATCAAGCTGGAAAAGGTGGAAGGGCTAAAAAGAAGACAGTCCTCAACAAGTTGGATGGACACAGTGATTATAACAATGGGTTCAAGCTTATTAGAGATTGTGAGGATGGAGAAGGACAGGTCAAGTGTCCAGTCTATTCTTCAAATGGTCCCTATGAGTTGTCATTAGTTTGAAGGTATTGAACAATGGCAGCAGAAAACAACTTAGGAGAGTCCCTGTTGTTATTAGATGCTATTGAATTGATTCTGACTCATAGGGACCCTATGAACAACAGATCAAAGCCATGCCCTCGCCAGCATCATCCTCACAATCTCAGCCAAGTTTAAACCGAGCACTGCAGTGACCGGGTCAATCCATCTTGATGAGGGTCTTTCTCTCTTTTCACCGAACCTCTACTTTTTCAAGCATGATGTCTTTTCCAAGGAGTGGTAGGTGCTACAAATGGTTACGTACTTGACTATTAGCCAAAAGCTGGTGGTTCAAATTCACCCAGAGGCAACTTGGAAGACAGACCCGTCGATCTGCTTCCTACGGTCACAGCTTTGAAAACCTATGGAGCACAGTGCTATTCTGCACACAAGGGGCGACAGCAACAACGACTACTAAATAAAAACCAAAAACTTCAAGTGGTATATGGTTTTTCTGGTTAGGAAACCCATCCCAAGTCCTGAAATGCAGTCATGTGATTCCTAAATAACCAGTGGAATCCTTCTTGCTTCAATTATAGCCTGTCCTTCTGAGCCCATGACAGCTGCCTCCTCAGGACAGTGGCTGTCATTCTCACTCAGTATGAGATCTCTTAGATTCTCCTTTAAATGGTCACTGAGATTTATTTTCTCTCTTCTGGGCTGCAAAATAAATGGTCTAATGTTTTCTTCCAAGCACTCATTTCTAACTTGTCAATGACGGCTGCAGTTTCCCCATCAGAGCTTCCTAAGCTATAACGTGATATTTCGCACGTGGCATGTGCTTTCAGGTGTTTTGCTCCTTAATCACTGTGACTCCCAATCCTATGTATGATGAGTTTGTGTGGGGTTTTTTCTTTTAGGTAAAATGTTATGTCCTAAAGGATGGGCCTTCCTCCTTAAAAGGAAATACGGAGGACAGTCAGTCTCATGATGTTACTTTATTTGTTTGTCCTAACTGCTTATCACAGTCTAACTTTGTACTTCAGCAGTTGATTTTCTTTTCCTTCACTGGAGAAATGGATTTCTATTTTTTTACTATTTCTCAAATTCATCACCTTTTGGATATAGTCTTTTGCAAAATACTAAGAAGTATCCCCCTTCCACCATTTTTTTTAACCTTCCCTGTGCTGAGTCTTAGAGATAACTGCTTCATTTTTATTAGGGGCATGGTTTACCAGAGTCCCCTAGTCAGAATATGATCCATGAAGATTTACAAGGAAAAGCAGTGGTCGGTGTGCGACCATGTGCTTGTTGTAAGAAAAATTATACTTACAGACAAAAGATTCATATATAATCCAGTCACATACCACGGAAAGGAAAAATAAGAAGAATATGTAATAGTGATGGTTGCCAAAGCCTAAGTCAAAAAGAAAAAAATTATACTTAATATTTTTATAGTGATTTTTCTAGATCAATACCATATTAAATACCTTCCTGTCTAACGCTTTCATCAAGTAAGAGAGAAATAGGCTGTTGCTTTGCTTTTAACACTAAAACCAAAACACAATCAGTTCTAGAATCTAGAATGTCAGAGTCAAATGTTCATGTTAACATAAGTAATTCATATGTATTCATCACTGACCTCAAAGAAGATACTTTTAAACACAGAACAACTTTATTAAAGACACAGGTTTAAGGGTTACTAGTTGTGTGACTTTCTGTAAGTCTTAACTTCTCTAATCCAGTGATTTTACTGTAATATGGGGACAATACCACTTCTGTTTATTTAAAAGGCCTGTAATGCTAGGGAAAACAGAATGATGTTTGAGAAAATACTGTTAAATGCAGTGTGGTAACAATGTATAAACTTACACTTTTTCTTCTGCCACTCAGGGCTGCCTGGAATAATGCTAATCATCTTATCGTTATAGTGTGATGAGGCCCTTAAAGCTAGGTACTCTGGAAATCACAACTCCATCTGTTCTCCAGGACCAGTAAGAACATCAAAACGTACCAAGGAAACCTGATTGCCCCTGTTTATCACACCATTGTTGTTGTGTACCACCCAGTCAGAAGTGACCCACAGCTGATCCTCCAGCAGGTTTTGAGGCAGTAAATCACATGGGAGAGAACTGCCCATCTTTCTCCTGCAGAGCAGCTGGTGGATTCAAATGATGTACCTTTGTGTTGACAGCACAATTATTTTCCATGAAGCCACCAAAGTGCCTGTTTATCATATTATAAAAGCATATTGTCTTTTGAAGACCCATGCCCATAGATCCACAGAAGTTCCCCATAAAAGACTACTGGCTTCTACCAGGATTGTTCAGAGGTAACCTAGGGCTATAGATCAGGAAAAGGAATATTCCCCAGTTGGAAGGTAGTCTAGATCTCTAAGACTTAGGGCTCTGGCTCCTACCTGAACCTTGTACGAGGCACATGGAGGAGGAAAGATAGCCAATCTTGAAAATACAGCAAAAGCATGGCTTTTGGAGTGGAAGTCTGATACTTATGATTTCAAGAAAATAATTTTACCCATTATAGTTTTACAGTTCTAAAAGAGAGATAATACCAATTTCACATGTATACTATGATAAGCTAACAAGATACTAAAAAGTGTCTTATAAACACTTTAAAATTATACAAATGATGGCAGTTATTATCATCAACTCGGACAATCTTTTCCGAAGTCACAGCCTAGAGAAGATGCTCAGGTAAGGAGCAGTTACAAAATAGGCCCCTGGGATGCTCTTTCCTGTTTTCTGTAAGTCACTGTACATTAACTACATACATGCTTTATTTCATTACGAAGGTGAAATAGTAAGCCTCTCACCTATACAACGTCCAGTCCACAGGCAGTGTTGGTCATATCGAGCCACACAGGAGTTGCATACATGGCAATGCAGTGACCTTAAAGGTTTCCGAATCTAGGTGTAATTAAGAGAGGCTCATGGAAAATTCATGTTTCCAAGCTATAACAAATCACAACCAAACCCCCAGTGCTAAATCATGAAGAGAATGGCACAAATAATCACAATTATTCAACTCACACAGAGGCTCTAAAATGCCTTATGAATATTTATTTCCATATGTTTATTTGATTAGGCCACCACTAAGGGAAATGTGAATTCCAGCATATATTCACAGTAATGGTTAATGAGTCAGTACTGTACAGTAGAAGAACACTAGGCTAAGAAAAAAGCAAATCAAGTTCAGTTCTGACTCTGCCAATAATATACGGAAGTGACTTCTTCCCTCCAGGCCCTCATATATCAATCACAAAATGAATGGTTTTACTAAGAAGTTTCTAGGGTCATCACAGGCCTCTGAATTGAAGTGACTTCCAGTACATGCTCCCTGACAGTGCAAAACAATGGAAACACACAATGGATAACTCATAACCACTGGCAGCTTAGTAAGGTTATGATATCATTTTCTCACATACTCAAAGCAAAAAAACCTGTTATTAATTGTATTTTAAAATCAACAGAAACAGAAGATCTGACAAATGTTCACATGTACAATGCTACCAAGAACTTGCTTTCTTTCACTATGGTGAAAAAGAAAAAAGTAATGCATAAAAAACTCACTCACAAGACATGATGTACAAAATGTTCTGAAGTCCAGGCAACCTGTTTCTGCGAGGGTGATGATACTCTGAAAAACATGAAGTTTGACCGTAAGTTGCATTTTGTTGGGTAATGTATTATGCTTGCTTATGTACCGTTCTCACAGTTCTCACTCCAAATGGAAGTAGTCAGAAAAGCAATTTAGAATGCATGCCACCAAAATATTCTGTGCTTGATAGAATGTGATTTTTCAAGGCCATATTTTCTTTCTTTTCTTTTCTTTCTCCTTGGTTAAGGACTCGATGTACATATTCCAAATATATGTGTAACTTACAGATAAAATGAGATGGACTAGTTTTCCAGCCTCCTGATTTGTGACAAGTAAGTTTACTCTTTCAGAACTGGCCCACTACTAAATGCAAGACACCATAGTATTGTGAACGAGAAGAGAGAACTCCAAAGTTTGTTCTAAATATTGGTTTAACTAAATAGTTGTAGCATGTTACGACTATACCTTGTCAGTGAACCACAATGTAACTGTCTTTAATGACTTGTATTTACGTATTTTCTCATCAGAAGTGTCAAGACCACATTTTCAACCACAGTCAATAAATTAGGATGAATAAAAATGATACCATTTTTTTCTCTCTGTGAGTGGCAATCACTTCCCAGTTCACCCCTAATCTGATGAAACAGAAACAAATCCATACACATGCATTAAAAGAGAAACAAAAACTACCAGCATATATCAGAACTGCTGATTGTAAGTACAGGGTTGAGCCTCTTCCTTCCTCTAGGAACACTGGCTTTAGGTAACAAATGCGATGACACTCTCACCAATTTCCAAAGACTCATGGGCAATGGACATGAACCATGTCATGTGACAACTTCACACTCTCAGTTAAAAAACAGGATCTCCCCTGACCAACCCTTTCCTACCTTCCAAATAGTAAATGGGGGAATTTAAACTATTTTTATTTAAGTTTTATCATAAAAAAGAATGGGACCATATCCACCAACAGAAATTATTTTTGGAGTTATATATAGTAGAAAACTTTTTAAAAGCTTTTTATATAAATGAATGAAAAATTTAACACTGGAGAAATCTCATTTTTGTTGCTTTATTCATCCTACATTTATAGAGCACATATTAAGGTCTTGGCAATAAGGCAATGGCAAAATCTAGCATGGCTCTTGACCTAATGTTTACAAATGCTTCTATTTAAAAAAACACTGGTAACATTACAAAGAAAACTCACCATGTTCCTTTCTTCTTCAGAAGACTTTGTGTAGCCTGGATCAGTTGCCCAAGTCTTGTAGAAAAAGTAGAGGAAAGCTACTATGCTGAGAATGAAAGTGAAGTAGAAGGGGGTACCTTCTAAATGTTACGGTTAAGTTAAGGAACATATTAAATGTTCATTAAGCACAACATAATTATGGTACAAGCAAAATTCATCACTAGTGGTTAAGAATAGTTTTCTCTACATTCTATCTCCACATTCCTTTACATATACCCACTATCATCCCAAGCCTGGCCCTCTCCTATGTTCTAATCCTACAGAAATTTGTTACTAGGGAGCTAAAAAGTCATTCCCTTTCATTATAGGAAAGTGACATTAAGTACTGATAGGAATAACTGGAATTTATAATAAGCATTTTGAGAAGTGAAAATATTCAAAAGTCAGATAAATTAATCTCTCATAATGTAACTGGTTATCCTGTGAGTATCTGAAAAAACATACTTGTAACTAAATCACCCACATAAGCAAACCCCTTGGTTTAGGAATTAGAACTAAAATGATTTCCCTACAGATCAGATAAATGCTTAGAAAAATTTCCTACTGGAAAGTTTAGTAACTAATCCTTCTAATTTTATTAGGCTAATTTAGAAAGAAAAAGGAACTGCTCTTCATGCAAAATGATTACAAATCAAGTAGTACTGGTGGAAGGCAGATAATATGGATAAAAAATTAAAAGTGTTTCAGGCTACTCTGGAAAGTTTTTAAAGTGGTACACATGATTTTTCTAAAAATTTTGCTACAGATAGACAATGATTGTGTGAATATGGTAAATAATTTTTCTTGCTCAATTTAAATCCTCCTTGACAAAATAGACATTGAATGATGTCACCAGTGAGCATTTCTCAGCTCCCTTGAGCCAAATGTTAAGATGAAGAGGTGGCCATTAAATAGACTCTACACTTCTGCTATTCAAAGTGTGGTCCATGAACCCAAAGTATCAACATCTAAGAGCTCATTTGAAAGGCAGAATTTCATGTAACCCCCAGACCTACAAAATTAGGCTCTTGATTTTATTCTAACACTATTCCCAGGTAATTCACATAGTCAAGTTTGAAAAGCCCTTTCCTAACCTACAAAGCCCAGCACAACCATACCTAAACGTGTGCTCAGAGACATCAACAAATCTCGTCTGACAACACGCTCAGAGTAAGTGAGGCAGTTTTCCCTTACTTGCTTCTAAGCACCACTCTGGTTGCACTTCTCCCAAGATGCTGTTGCTGTTATATCAAGTGCTGTCAAGTCCCTTGCGACTCATTGCAGCCATATGTACAACAGTTCTGAATCCTGCTCTATCCTGAGCCAACCATATGATCCGACACACCTACCTCCATTACCCCAGTCACTGAATCAATAGAGCCTTACTCTCTTGAGCTGTCACTCTGCCCTCCCATGCATGATGTCCTTCTCCAAGGACTGGTCCCTTCTTGAAAAATGCTCAAAGTATGTCAGATGTATTCTTTTGCTTGTTCATGGAATATTCAGTACTGTTCTTCAACACCACAATTCAAAAGCATTGATACTTCTTGGGCATTTCTTACTCATTGTACAACTTTTAATAACATAAATCAATTGAACCCTTAAGTTGACATAAAACAACTGAACCATTAAGTTGTAGAGCTGTTTTGTTTTACCAGAAATACTTTCCACTTCTCCTTACCTAGTTCTGACTATGTTAGGATGCCTTAACCACTTCAAAGGAAGCTCTGATCCAAAGGGAATTGCATTACTAATCCAAAGGCTGTGTCTCTGGAGGTTTAAATCCACCAGTGACTCCTTGGGAGAAAGATGGGCAATCGTCTCCTGTGCAATTTATAGTCTTAGAAACCCAGTGGAGGGTCAGATGAGTCAGTTCTTACTAAATAGCAATGGGTTACACCTGAACAGCAATAATGGCTTCAAAGCTCACCTTACACTGTCCTCTTGTAGGTCTCCTCTCATTCCTCACAGAGAAAAATCCAATCCCTTCCCCGAACATAACAGCATTTTTTATGGCACTTACAGACATATCAGCTTTCCCATTTAGCTTCTGACTCTTTTACAACTAGATATCTAAATATGGAACTCTAACTTGGCATTCTAGAACTTCAATCAACTAGTTTTCATGCTTCAACTAGTTTTCACGCTTTAGAGCTACACTACATAACTACATTATGCTTATAAATCTACACTATATAAGCTTATTCCTACTTATTCAATAAAGATTTAATGTTCAGACTAGATACTGCTTTGGCTTTCAAATAATAAAATTCCAAATACTTGAAATAGGAAGGCAATGATCATACTTCTCTTACTTAACACACTTTCACACTTAAAAGAACAGCATTGGAAGCAGAGTAGATTTAGTCCAGGTATATTCTAATCAGTGGGGGGTGAGATTGTCATTTTGCTTTTTCTATTTGGCAAGACATACAAATATTTGCAATGCTGTTGGAGAACACAGGTGCCTCCCTAAAAGCTGCATTTCTCACATACAGGGCTTTAGGGCTTTACTTAAAGGTCTTGCTTCTTTTTCTCTTGACCTGAAGATATGTCGTATCTCATATACACTCTTACACATGATTTTCTGCAACCACATACAGGGCTTTACATGTATCTGTGTCTCTTAAACCCAACTCAGTTAGTTATAGCTAGTATCATAAATGTAATATCCAATGATTCATCATGTGTTTCATGAATCTTAACCTTACTTCCATTGCCAGTAAAATCCTATTCTCTTCCATTCCAATACCCCCTTCATAAAAGTCAAATACACTGCCTGCTGAACATTTAATAGGACTGAGAAAAATAAAATGTCCAAGAAGGAGCCAAATTAGAAAGCTGCTTTTAATAATAGTTTCAACATGCAGCCTCTTACATGGATTTTTCATAAGATTAATTAATAATTATTAGAAAAAGAACTGGTGATCTTTTCCCTGGGTCATAAAGATTATAGCTTAGGAAATAGGAGGTGATTCTGCTCTGTCCTGTATGTCCATATGTCCCATGAATCAGAATCAACTTGATGGCAGACAATAATAATAATCATTATTTATAAAACACCCATTATGAAACAGGAACTGTGGTCAACACTTTGACAGTATATAGCATAGTAATTTTTGTAATCACTCCTTGGGCTTGGCACTGTCACCCTCAATTTACAGAAAAACAGAGATTCAGTGACATTAAATGACTTGCCCAATGGTAAGGAAAAGAGCTCACATTTAAATTCATTCTGTGTAGTCACAAAGACTGTATTGTTTCCCATTGCTCGAGACCTCTTCCCACAATGGACCTGGAAGCTGTGCGAGTGGGAGCCCCTCAACAGTCCTGACTTGCAGTCTGGTAGAAGACTGTCAAATTGCCTAGAATAGAAACACAGGCTAGTTCAAACAGCATTTCACACAGTCAGCTTGAAAATTTTTATCTGAAGGTGAGGTATGCCCCCTACTGACTCACACATCCTCTTGAGCAGCATGTTCTGAAGGGTGCCAGGATCAAAGGCCTTAAATTGGACATGCAAGCAAATATTCTATCTTATCAGCACTGACATCCTAAGCTGCTTCTATCAATCTAGGTAACTCAGTTCTTCTGATAGAACAGTATCTTCAAAAATATTTTATGGATATTAAATGCTGTAGCAGGTTTTCAAACTACAGTAGATTTTTGTTCATTTAGATTCTTCAAATCTGAAATAATTTAAGTAGAATATTGATCTCATTTTATGTGCAAACTGAAAATAATGTGAATTGCTCAATTTGTTAAAGTTCATCGTGAAATAATTTTAAACACTGTGTTTCACTACTACATGGGTTGGTATACAAAAATGGCAGCCAGCCAGCTATTCTATAATTTTTATAAACTTTGGGACTTGTGTAAGTAATTCTGCTACATACCTGTATATTACTCATTATTTAATGAAGTATTTTATATCACTTAAAGATATCATCTAAGCCTCCATTAAGTTGTGATGGTAAAGCTAGACTTTAAAAAGCTATACTTAAATATTTTCTATTTTTAAATAAATACTTTATATTTTTACATAAATGCTTTATATTTAAAAATCAATAATTATGAGACAAAAGCCAGATGTCATAAAATCTTTTGAAGTAAAACATCTAAGGCACACTATGCTATCAAGTCATGCTAACCTCCCAAAAATCCCTAAAACCCACTGCCAGTGAGTCGATTCTATTAACAACCTTTCACTGCATTTCCAAGGCTGTAAATCATTATGAGAGAAGGCTGCTCACCTTCTTCTCCCAAGGAACATAAGGTGATTTCAACCTTAACCTTGTTGGTTAGCAGTACAAAATGCAAGGCACTATGCTATCAGAGCATCTTACGTTACAGTATGGAAGTCTACAAAACATTGGAGATAATTACTCAGAAATAAAAATTAGTGTTAATATTAAAGGACCATCTCCTTCTGTCACTGCTGTCAAGTCAGAACTGTGTCATAGCTGACCCTACAGTGGGTTTCTAAGGCTGTAAATCCCACTGCCCATCTATCTTCCAAGATCAGTAAAATAATACACAGCTATAACACAAGAAGTAAGTCCCTCCCCACTCTTGATGACTGGACTTAACCAATCCTATGAGGACAGACAACACAACCCTAAGCTGATCCTCAAGTCATGATGCTATTCCTTAGATAAGAATTTTAAACTGTGGGCTAATATACCTTACTAAGTCTTGAAAGCAGCTATATGTGCTATGATTAGCATTTTTTTAAAACTAAAAGCTCATTGCCTTCTAGAGTTCCAGCCCACAACAGACTCTCCAGGGGGTTTCTGAGGGAACACATTGCCCAGGAGAAGACTGTTCTCTTCCAAAGCTAATGGCCAAGTCAATCCATCAAAGTGCAGCCTTTGGATTAACAGTGCAGCTCTCTATAGATTGTTGTTATGCCTTTGAAATAAAAAGAAATAATAAATAAAAAAGAAAAATAAATGTGCAAGGAACACATTAGGAGTATTGTTTTCTGAAAATTTTATTTCTCATATGTTTGTGGTGGCATTTGTTTTAAAAGAACGAAACTTCTTTTAAAATTTTATTATTTGTGTGTGTGTGTGTGTGTGTGTGTGTGTGTGTGTGTATGTGTACCGTCAAATCAGATCTGACTGGTACAGGAGAGCATCTTCTCCAGCAGAGCATCTGGAGGATTCGCACTGCATACCTCTGGGATTACAGTGCAGCTTCTTGCCACTAGGCCACCAGAGCTCCCTTGTGGTAGCATATTTTATTTCAAATTTATTTCTACTGTGGATCATGTAAAAAAAGTCCGAGAATCACTGCTTGAGATAATATCCCTGCCACTGCTCTATTAACGAGGAAGCAGTATTTTCCCAAATATCCTTCTCCTCCCTATTTAGGTCATTTTTGTAACCAGAAGATTGACTAACCAACTGTGACTGCTGACCAACTTCAATGCACCATCTGACTTTGAAGAGAATCACAAGGCAATAACACAAATTCTTTATGGGCCTCAGTAAGGTGATAATTCATTTTACTGTTTCCCCTGTTATGACTAATAATACTGGACACCTTCTGATTCCATATGTGTTCTGAGATGATCTCCAGAAAGAGTAGACTTTCAACATTAACCATCTTCCCTCAAAATCATTAAATGAATACACACTTGCATTACATTCCCTGGCTTTTCTCCAACATCAAAATTCCTAACAACAACATTACTAATTTTTTGGTGCAAAGTGAGCTAGCTACACATCTACATTTAAAAGGAAAGGATATGAGGAAAGAATAAGAAGAACCAAGTCACAAATAGCCAAAAAATGGAACTTAGTAGAAAGGCTGTGGGTAAGTATATTAGGCTCTTATAGCCAACCAGCAACCTAGGAAAAAGGATAAACAAGTATTAGTGAAAACAAGCAATGGTACCAAAAACAGTAGCAACACCATTTTACAGGACAAAACCCAAGAACAGTGACTCTGAAGAACTGAAAGCATAGTTCTCACAACAGCTTATACATTATTTATTCGTTGTTATACATGTTTTATTATTCTTTGCATTGCAGGTACATAATATTTGTACGACTTTTCTGATGTATTTTTCCAAATACTCAAAATGCAAAAATTGGAATATGTGGAAATTTACTTTCACACGTAATAAGCTTTGGTCTATAGGCTAGGAGTACATTTATGAAATAGACAAGGCATGTGCACATGATCTTAAGTACTTTTATCTGGTAACCAGTTCAGGAAATAGACGTGTAATAATGAAAAGACAGGTAAAGTGCAGTAACTGCACTAATCAACAGAACCCTAGAAAACCTCACTTATACCACGAGTAACCTGAAGTCTGTATATAATTTCTTTTAAAAAATGTCTTTCCTTCTATTCAATAATAAAAATCAATGCTCATATGAATATATCTTAAACTTGCACAAGGAATGCTGAATGATGGGTGTAAGAGTTTAAAAAAAATATTAGGGTGACCTAAAAAAAGGTGGTGAACTGTGGCCTGAATGATAAGATGACTCCAGTTGTAAGAATAATTTAGACAAAGACAGAAACAAAGATCAAGGCCCCAGGTGAAGAGTTCCAGAAAGAGAGCAAAGTGAAGCTTCTGGAAGAGAGGGAGAGATGAAGTCAGAGGGGAAATAACAGAATCATGCAATACCCACAGTACACTGAAAAGCAAATGACCTGTGTGGTTCTGTCTCTGCTTCTTAAGATCAGAAATAGTTTTGTGTTGGGAAGTGTGTGTGCATTTACACTGCATGTACACTGGAATTAGTTAGTCACAAAACGTGTCTAAATTTATAAGACGTATAAATTACAATCCTAATTTCCTGAATGAGTTTCTAATAGCTTGTCCTATCAAAAGTTCTTCTCTGAGAGTGGCCTTATGGATATAATTAATTGGATCATGAGTGGACATCAAATGTGATGATAATGAAAGAATTATCTGTCTGGTTAAAAAAAAATGTGTGGAAAGAATGTCTGGTTTGAAAAAAAAGAGACAGCATTTTAGGGGGGGAACCCAAATTCAAAAACCCCCACAGCACCTGGTATTGCCAGATGGGCTCCCATCCAAGCAGTACCAAGACCTGATTCTGCTTAGCTTCTGAGATCAGATAAGATCAGGTGTGTCCAAAGAGGTATGGCCACTGGCAAACTAGAATTTTTTTTAAAAAAAGACAAATTGAAGGACTTTAAGTGTGAGAACAGAGAGAAAGCAATTTGCTTTTAAAAAAGCCCATCTAGGGTTGCTAACTGGGAATGACCCAACTACGGAATGTAAGTGCTACATCAGGAAAGTAGGCATTCTGGTCTATAGTGATAGCTGGAGAGCTGGAGAGAAGTCAATCAAGTGAGGATAAACTGCAGAGGGAGATGAAGGAGGACCTGGTGCTGGGACAGAAATGGGAAGAGGAAAAGGAAGAGAGCATTCATTTTCTTATGTGAGAAACTACGTTATTTTATTGAGAAGGTGAAGAGAGGAGGTGGAGAAACTGGGGTGCGAGACACGATTATTGAGTAGTCACTGTGACATGTACAAACTCATTAAATTATGAAGTCACTATTATCATTAATTATTTTTCTCATTTTAGAGATGAGAAACTGAGGCAAAGGGCCATAGAGCAAATTGTTTAAGTTCATACAGCAATGTGGTGAAATGTCAGTTGGTCAGTGGTACTGTGATTTTTTTTTTTATTATTATTATTTTATTATGTGTGTGTGTGTGTGTGTACCGTCAAATCAGATCTGACTGGTACAGGAGGAGATTGTCCCTCCTTTCCCGGCAGAGCATCTGGTGGATTCGAACCATGCTCCTCTGGGATTGCAGTGCAGCTTCTTGCCACTAGGCCACCAGAGCTCCCTGGTACTGTGATTCTTAATCAGTAATCATTACTGACCACGTAAAAATATTTTGCTAAAACTGGAATCATACCAAAGTTGCACATTAGATAAAGCAAAAAAACACTAAGAACAAAAGAAATTAGCTTAAAAAGTTAGATTTAGTAAAGAAAAATGTCTGAAAAATAGGTAAAAAAGCTACAATGAAAACATTACTAAAATTTCTCTATAGTCACCAAAATTACCAAATAAAAAATGGCTTACTTTTCCCAATATAATTTCAACCAAATTATTAGAGAGACTAATTTCTTGTCAGTCAAATCATATGGTACCAAAACCTTTCCCTCCCATTAGCTTGAAGGTTTTGCAATGTGTATCTCAAACTCAATAAAAAATTTTAACTCCAGTTAATCAACAACAGAAATAAGGAATAAATTATTGGAAATGCTCCAATAAACCTTGAAAAGACAAAAAATACACACCTGGGAAACAAAGATGTCAGAAAAAACAATATTACTAGAAGACTTCCTTTTAAAAGCCAGGAATCTGAATTGGAGTCCAGTATGTATCCAACAGCCCACATGGTAATCACAGACAGCATCAGCACCATTAAAAGCTATTGAGAGATTCAGAATTTTAGAACTCTGTGGATTTAAGCTCTTAATTATATGGTAATAATCAGTTCAACAGAACTAGTCTCTAAACATAAAACAATTAGCATAATAACAGAACATAAGAATCTTTTTTCAAAATTGCTCATCAATAATTCTGAAGTTTGAGAAACTACAATCTCAGAAACAATCTTATAAAAGTCCTACATTTTACAAAACGTTGTTTAAACAATTTGTATTGCTTTTCTCCATTAAATAAATTGTAGTTGGTTTTTTCAGTTTTCCTTTTAGAAAATTACTAGTGACAGATTCTATTTTTAAAAACAATTTCTTTCAAATAGTACTGTATATCAGAAAGCATAAAGCAAGGTAAAAGGACTGTGAAAATCAATACACCAAGAATTAATAAAGGGAGTGGAAGAGTTCCAACTTGAACAGAACAAGGTGCTATGCACTAAGAGGAAACAAAAGCTAGAAGAAATAAGTTTGCAGATAAAATTAGTTCAACCTGGGCATGTGTCATTTTAAATGACTACAGATACCTAACATCCAAAAGGTTGTGAGAAAAGGAAGCCTGTCTCCCAGAGGAAGACTTGGGATTTATCAGGACAGGCACATGTGGCTGAACTTCCATGATACATTCTGTCATTTGGGTGCTGTATAAACACCATACTAAAACCTTGCCCACTTCCAGTCATCTTTGCTGCTGTTGCTGGACCTATCAGAAGAGGCTGGAGGAGCAGGTGGCAGCATGGTAATAGAAGCAGCGGCGGCTGTCCTCACCCCAAGCTGCCCATTGGACAATTTGGGAGTCTGCTCCCAGAGCCATGTTCTCCATCTCACTTGCCTATGTGCCTCAATGAACTCTATGTGCCACAGGTGCTCAGGCTTGGGGTCTTAAAGGCCATTAGCCCGAATTAATAACAAAACAAAAAAAGAGATGTTATTCCTTTTAAAAATAAAAACCTAAGTGGCCACAGATATCTATGTGGTCATTCATTGCTCAAATGGACATTAAGTAATGCACACCTGTATATAGGTGGTGAGGCCAAGTGTTCACCACACAAGGACAGCCTGCAGAGACTTCCTGGCAGAATCTCAGACAACAGTCATTTAAGGGGAATAAAAAATTAAGGACACAAAGGTAACCACCACCAACAACAAAAAATTAACTGAAAAACCAGACAATGAGGAAAAGGAGAAATACAGAACAGTCTCTGGAAGAGAGTTTCAAGAAGGGAATTGTTCTCACTATCAAACGCCACACAGGCATCAAAAACTAAAACATGTCCTCAGGATGCTAATGATACAGGTATTCTGTCAGAGTCAAAAGAATGAAGTGTCTGGAAACTAACAGTCTGACTGCATGAAAGGCAGGCATTTCTGGGCAACACATCCCTTATCTACAATTCACGTGACCCTGAAAGCAAAGCAGTCGAACAGCAAAGGGGAAAAATATATTCTGCTCTATTCTTTTTAGTTTTCACCTCTTTAAATATATTTTGGGGACTGGGACTGATGACTCTAAATGATAACAGATCTTTAAAACTAATGTGTCTGATAACACAAAATGAACAAATTCAGATTTTTAAAGAGTTAAATTCAGAATCTACAAGCAATATAATCACAAACAAAGTAACAAATAAGGATTTAAAAATTTAAATCTCAGATTTAACACTCTTGTAGAGGACCACCATTATTCATTCAGCAAGAATTTGAGGGTATATTTTAGGAATGTGGGATACATCGGTGAATTTAAGACTTTCTCTCAGGGGAATGAAGTTCTAGTAGGTAGGACAGACAAGTATAGCAAGTGAATTTTATAATGTGTAACAGCTAGGTTGCACATAGTGTAGAAGACCATTTTAATCAGTTTGGCTTTTACTCTGGATGAGTTGGGAAGGTCCATGATTTAGAAGAGATTATGGACAGGATTTGATTTGTACTTTAAAAAGATACATCGCATGTTACACTGAGAATACGCTGAGTAAGAGAAAGACTATTGGGGAGATCTGAGAATATGCTAAGCAACAGAAAGGTATTGGGAAGATCTGTTAAGAGACAACTGCAGCAATACAGATAGAAAGAGCAGTGCTTGGACCAAAAGGGTACTTACAGAATGAGGAGAAATGGCCAAGTTCTCATCTACATCAGTGGTGGAGTCAGGCAACATGTCTTTCTGGAGGACTGGATATGCAGTGTGATAGGGACAAGACAAAGATGATGTGAAAGCTGGAGGTGCCACTTCCTGAGGTGAGATGAAGGATGGAGATCGGGGGATGGGGATGTGCGTGAGGATGGAGTAGATGTGAATGGACGTGCGGGGGGGGTTGGTTGGGGAAGAAGTTCTAGAGCTCATAGTTATATTGGAGATGTTTATTAGGCACTGAAGTGCATGATGAAGTTGACTCTCTTGAGTCTGGAAAGGACTGGACCAGAAAAATACTTTTGAAGTTGTCACTTAAGATTACCAACGGTATACCACAACAAGATAAAGGTAAATAATCCAATAGAAAAATGGGCAAAGGATATGAACAGACACTTCACAGAAGACGACATTCAGATGGCTAACAAGCGCATGAAGAAATGTTCAAAATCTATAGCTCTAAGAGAGATGCAAATCAAAACAACTATGAGATATCATCTCACCCCAATCAAAATAGCAAAATTTAACAGACTAGCAAGCAACAAATGCTGGCAAGGTTGTGGAGAAACTGGAACCCTTATTCACTGTTGGTAGGAGTGTAAAATGGTGCAACCACTGTGGAAGGCAATATGGTGCTTTCTCAAACAGTTGCAAATAAAGACACCATTTGACCCAGCAATTCCACTACTGGGAATATACCCCAAAGAGACATAACTGGCATCCAAGCACATATAAGCATACCCATGTTTATCACGGCTTTGTTTACAATAGCAAGGAGTTGGAAACAACCTAAGTGCCCATCAACAAATGAATGGATAGAGAAGCTGTGGTATATTCACACAATAGAATACTATGTTGCATTGAAAAACAAGGTACTCATGCAGTATTACTCAAAATGGGTGAGCCTGGAGGACATTATGCTGAGTGAAGTATCTCAGTCACAAAAGGACAAATACTGCATGGTGCCACTGCTTTAATACAGGACTGACCTCAGGGTTGGGGGGAGACTGAGAAAGATGGGATAAATTATGTATACTGCATTGAAACAGATGAGGGAGAAAACTGTTTAAGAGGGATATGTTATTAGGTACTTTTGTCATGACGGGAGTCCAGAGCAAAGGCTGTATAGTGGAGTGGACCCGGAGGGAGGGATTGTAAAACCATGAAAGAATTTTTCGTATACTTTTCCAAGGGGGTAGTGTACTGGGGGGTAGGATTGGGAGGGGAGAAAAGTGCAACAATGAATGAATGGAAATCCAAAGTCTCTGTAAATTTTCATTAAATTAATAATGAATTAAAAAAAAAAAAGATTACCAAGGATAATAAACAGGAAAGAGGTCCAAGAACAAAACCCTGTTGATCACAGGGTTGCTAGGAGACATAGTAGACTTGACAACTGATTTAGATTCTGCTAGCAATTCATGAGAACAAGCTGAATTTCACAACTTTTCCTATTGTTCAGTTCACATTAAGGTGCAAAGTGGGGAGAAAAAAATAAAGATGAGTTCCATCTTCAGATAAAATCCTAGATGTCTGATATTATAAAGTGACATTATATCATAGATAGGTAAATCTTACTTTTGAAAAGCTCAAATTCATTGTTTGCTTTGTAGTAAGCCATTCGAGAGGCAGAGTGAACAGTGAGCATGTAGCCCTCCTTCCCGAGACTAACTTAGCCTCTCAGCTGCAAGAACGTAACGCTATGTCTGCGAACTCTATATGCTGATGTTATTTCAGATCTCATGTAATTTAACAAGATTTGATAGGTTGTTTTGGAGGTCTAGGAATGCTCAACAAATTTTCCTATATAAACTAGTGATAATTACGTCTTTTATACCATTTCAATTTAAAAGGTCTCATAAGAACAGTACTGAGTTTCAATATGACTTTCCTAGCCATCTGAATCTGACTTGACCATGTAGAAGGGCAGGAATATGAAAACAGAGTGTGTTAGCCTATCAAGGAGGGGAATGGCTATCTACCAATACAAAAAAGGTTGACTAATCTCGCCATGAAATTGAGCAGTTAGCCAAGAGAGATAAACAGACTTTTTCCCCATCAGCGCGAAGAGGCCTCACCGTCAGGGAAAGAGCAAGCAAGAGGGGGCCTATAGAACCAACAGTCATGGCAGCCACAGCCAGAAACAGAGACCTGACATTAGATGGGACCTTGAGACTGCTACACCAATGGAACTGGACCTAAGAGTCTTTGCCCAAGTTTATTGGACAACTGGAGGTGGGAAACCAAGCAGAATTGAAAACTTTGGAACATTAGCCAAAAGCCTGGAGGCTGAGGTGCCAGCAGGCACATTTCGGGAGTTGTCCTCACTGTATTCTACTACTAATTTGGATTATAACCTTTTAATTTCCCCAAAATGGTTCTGTTTGGTCTATGAGCTATCACATCGGATTTTGGACCCTCCAAAGCAGTAAGATTGGTGTTGAGAGGACATGTTGAATATCATGGGAACTGGTTTTGTGTTACTGATGCTGTTGACAGGGACAGTTCCCTTTGTGAACTTGGTAAAGGCCAGACATGGTTGTCTCTACATGATCCTTGCTCTTTTTACAACTACCTTAAGATGTTGTTATTGTTATGTGCCAGCAAACCTATGTACAATAGCTCTGAAACCTGCCCTATCCTGAGCTTGTCTCATTGACTCCAACACATCTATTTCCATTGCCGCAGTTACTGTATCAACCATCTCATCTGGGGTTTTACTCTCCTGTCCCATCCTTCTACCCTTCCAAGAACAATATCCTTCTTCAGGGACTATCCTTCCTGGCTATGTGCCCAAAGTATGTAAGATAGAGCTTCAAAATCCTAGCCTCCAAGGAGAAACTTGATTTCACACCCTCCAAAACAGACCTATTTGTTTAATTGGCAGTGCATGGTATGTTCAAGACTCTTCTACAGCACCGCAACTCAAAGGCATTGATTTTTCTTCTGCCATCCTTAGTTATTGTCTAGCTCTCTGATGCATAGCAAGTAACTGAGAAGACCTGGACTAGCCACGCCTTAGTATTTTTTTTTTTACTTGATATTGTAACAAAAGTTTACAGAAAACTTGGATTTCCATTCATTCATTGCTGCACACATTTTCCTCTCTAACCCACCCCCCCTTGCTTTTTTTCTTTAAAAAGATTCTTCATTGTTGCACAATTTCCTTCTTTCCCCCTGCCTCCCAGTACTGGCATTGTTGTTTCTCCAAAATCTGGAGAGGTCCCTGACAGCAGCAGATTTTCTCAGTGTAATTCATCTTCAGATTTCCTAACAGCTGGTTTCAAGAGTGTTGATCATGGAACCGAACAAGTTGTAACTATTATCAACCTCAATCTCTTATCTATCATGGTGCTGCCAACTGGCCCAGTGGTAAGAATCTTTATTTTATTGATGTTCCTTTAACCCATATTGAAGACTATAATCCTTGAAGGTTGTGTCATCTGCATAACGTAGGTTGTTGATGAATCTTCCTCCAATTCTGATGCCACATCCCTCCTCATAAAGCCCAGCCTCCCGAATGATTTGTTCTGCATATAGATTGAAAAGGTATGGAGACAGGATGCATCCCTAATGCACTCCTTTCCTGATTTTGAACCATGTTCTTCCTAGTATGAGTATGGGTTTCAAATGAGCACAATCAAGTGTTCTGGGATTCCCATTCCCTCAAGGTCAACCACAATTTGTTGTGATCCACACAGTCAAATGCCTTTGTGTAGTCAATAAAGTACAGACAGTACATTCTTCTGGTACTCTCTTTTTACCAAGATCCATCTGACATTGGCGATAATGTCTCTAGTGCCATGGCCTCTTTTAAACCGAACCTATATTTTTGGTAGTTCTCTGTTGATGTACTATTCCAGCCATTTTTGGATAATTTCCAGCAGGATTTTGCTTGTGTATGATATGAAGAATATCATCCATGAAGAATAAAAAAAGGTCATTACTAAGACAGAAGAAGAAAAAAACACCAAAATGGACTCTGAATATTGCACTAGGGCACTGAGAAGCCAAGGCAAAGGGAAGACATCAAGACATTAAGGAGCTGAATAGACAATTTCAAAAGGTAGCTTGGGAAAACAAAGCAAAGTATTATAATGAAATGTGAAAGGATCTGGCTTCAGAAAATCAGAAGCGCCGAACTTGCTAGGCACTTCTTACGTCAAAAGAACGAAACAAATTTGCTGCAAATTTCGTTGCAATACTTAAGGATGCCATGGGCAGAATACTGAATGATCCAGGAAGCATTAAAAGAAAATGGAAGGAGCATACAGAGTCACTTTACCTAAAAGAATTGGTTGACTTTGAAGAAATTCATGAAACAATATATGATGAAGAGGAAATGGTGATGAAGGAGGAATTGCAGGTAGCTCTGAAAGACTTGGCAAAAAATAAGGTCCCAGGAATTGATGTAACAAAAACTGACATATTTCAACAAACAGATGCTATGCTGGATGTGCTCACCAGGTAATCCCAAGAAATCTGGAGACAACTACCTGGTCAACTGACTGGAAGAGATCCATATTTATTCCCATTCCCAAAAAAAGGTGCCTTGACAGCAGGAGAAATCTGGACCTGATGTTTGCAACATTGTATTTTTTAAAAGTCTAATTTCATGATATTCAAATGAAACATCTTGAGAGTTAATATTTTCATTTTGGTGGGGGAAGTATTCACTGATCAATAGGCTAAAAAAAGTACATAACATTGCTTACAAAAACATTCTTCCTCTTGCTTTTCTAAGAATCTAAATTATCTGGATTTCAAGGTATTTCTTGAATAAATGTGGAAGTACTCCATAATATTCACAAGGCAATATATAGTTTGACAACCATTTAGCTAAGAGCCAATAGGAAATAGGCAAGGCAAACAGTAAATTTCTAAATGCATGGGAAAGACATAATGAAGCACTGAGCTAACATCCTGGTTTTCCCTGATGCCCTAAAAAACCAAAAACACACAAAAAGGTTCTTTTATCCCATTAAATATGCCCCATTTGAAAATACCTCGCTCTTCTGCAGCCACCTCCAAAGTCTATACTTTTTGTTGACTCTCATTTTCGCTTCTGCTTTGAGCATGTGAATGATGAGACGGTTTTTCATTTGCAGAGCTATATCAAGAGGCGTTTCTCCCTTAAAAAAGGGGAGGGCAAAAGAAAACACCAATCATATTTTTACTACATCATGTATATGAAACATTTTTTAAAAACTAGAATCATAGACTCAAAATATTTATTCAAAGAGTAGCCAGTCATTATTATTCATACCTATCGTATGTATGGTAACTGAAAACAAACGTGGAGCTTATCTTTCTGTGTGAGTGGGTAAATATAATAAGCTAAGGGTGATAAATACCTGGTCATACCTTAACATTTCTGATATCCAGGCTAGAACCAGCCTCCAAAAGTTTGTCAACTGCATTAACATTTCCCGCCGCAACTGCCCAGTGGAGTGGAGTGTTCTGGTGTATTTTATCAACAACATTGAGAGAAGGATTGAACTTTAATAGAAATCCAGTTGGTTCTGGCCTGTCTCAATACAATAAAACACCAAGGGGTATAAACAAGATGATTTAAAGGGTAAATGCAAATAATAAACCTAACCCAATCAACTAATCAGCAAGTATCTTGAATAACTGAGGGTCCTTTTGTGCAAAATATCATTCTTTGTGCTGTGAAAGATATTTTGGACAAAAAACAGAAACAACTACATGTATTAAATAACAACAGCTTGCTACACAGATAATAAAATTTTACCAGCAATAGAATGGAGTAGCTGCATAATTTTCTGTTTTTTGTGTGTGATTTTTCCTTTTAAGTTGTTGTTCAACTGGATAATAATTCTTAAAAAATTCTAAATTTATCTTTGGCCAATATTAAATGCTATGTTATGCTATTTATTGAATTAATCACTAAAAATATAGCATTATATTTGTGGAAATATATGTTCTGCAAGAAATTTTCTTCATTAGTTGCTCTTGAACTTTTAAGCAACACTAATAGAACAGAAAATTTATTTCAATGGTGTGTTGTTAACTATAACTAGACTAAAAGCTGTATCATGGGGGGAAACATTCTTTTTTTTCTCCATAATGTACTTTCATCGCACATACTTCTTGTTGTTATTAAGAGAGAGGAACCTGCTGGAGTTGAGAGTAAGTTGATTTAATGAGAGTGAACTCACTTACCCAAGCACTTTGTGAGCTGATAGCATGAGAGGTGTTTGCCCATTTAAATCTGTCATATCCACACTCTAATAAAACAAAAATAAGAGGCAATCAATATAACTTTTCAACCATGCCCTGAAAACTTCATCAAAATTCTTTTCCCTCCTTTAATCCTCTAAATAGAAATGTCTTTTTAATACACTCAACAATACTCAGATGTCTACAAATCCAAACCAAATCCACTGCTGTTGAATTGCTTTTGACTCACAGAGACCCCATAGGCCAGAGAGAGAATGAACCTAAAATATTTTTCAAAGGAAAATCTGAGTTAAAACATGGCATGATGTAAACTGAAACATTACAGGAAAAATTAAAAATGTTAGTAGTCCTCATCAAATATATGAGACCTGAGAAGCCATTTGGTTTTATTGTCTTTGACACATTAATTCATCTGTATTAAGAAGTTGTGTTGTAATTTCAAAGGCAAGGAGTTTGAATCCACCAGCTGCTCTGCAGGAGAAGGATGGGCAGTCTCCTCCTATCTGAAAACCCACTGGAGGGCCTGCTCCAACTCGATGGCACCGGACATCTCTTACACAAAGTTATCCAGCTTCTACATAAATATTTCCAGTAATAATGAACTTCCAGTCTTCTGATGCAACTCACTGCATGTTTGGATTTATCATATTATGTTTCAAATAAAAAACATGAAAATTTTATCCCAGAGGCAAGCGGTTCAAATCCACCAGATACTCTGCTGGAGAAGGAGAGACAATCTCCTCCTGTACTAGTCAAATCTGATTTGATGGTACATACACACACAATAATAATGATGATGATAATAATAATAATAATAATAATAATAATAATAAATACTAAAAGAAAACATGAAATGTCTTTTCAACCTTCTAGAGAAACAATGACAGTCTATCAAAAGCAGGTACAGAGTTGAGGTGTACAATAATGGTACCGACCAAGCCAAAGAAAAATAGATGATTCTTGTGGGCCTTGCAAAAATACAACTTGATTGGGAGCCTAAAGAAAAGTAAAAAGGGCTTTGCCTTATACATCTTTTAAAAAACGAGACTCAAATAAGTAATAATTATTCTACTTCAATTGGCTAAGTCTGAGAGAAAGTGCTTATTTAAAGAGAGTACAATCATTGCAACAGCATTTGTACAAACTTGCTTCCCTATTACAAGAGTCTACTGATAAACTACTCTGTTACCAGAAAGTATATCCCAGGCATGCAGAGCTGACAGTGAAACTCCCACTGCCAATAACCTATAATTTAACCTGTGCTATAAATGGATGCCTCTTACGGTGAGCCAATTTTCACAGAATTACTTTACAGAACAATAAGAAACCTACATCCAAACTAGTCTCCCATTTGGGCTCAAATAATGAAAGTAAATGATAGGTTAATTTAGTGATCTGACTACCATTTCTACATCCAACAAGAAGAAAAATACAGGCTTCAAAATCATGTTTAAAAAAAAACCTCTACAAATTGCTGGGCTCGCACAGAAACTATTACAGGCTTATAAAATTCAGAACATCTAGTTATATTTCATAACACTAAAAGACCTGTCCTTTTTGCCCCCAATAAAGCTAGAAGAGCAGTATTCAATAGATTTATTGAAGTTAACTAATATTTGGGAACTTGAGTATTTATAAAATTTACTTTAAAAATGACAATAGATTATCAGTAATATTCTACCCAAACTCTTCAGATTTACAAAAGCTGGAGTATAAAATACATTTCAAAACATACCTGCCCCTTTGAGATGAGATATGCTATAATAGGCATGTGTTGAAATAATACTGCCAGGTGGATGCTGCTGAATCCCTCTCCATCAATGAGAGTGGGGTCTGCACCATGATGCAGTAATAATATGACCATAGGTAAATGTCCTTGTCTGTAAACAAACAAAAATCATGCTGTATTTTGTAGCATACAAAAAGGGGTGGAAAATTTAGAGAAGATGATATTACAAGAGTTCATAGGAGGGATTCTGGATAGAGGGTTTTCTAAGAGAATTTACAAATATTTTTTTACTTAGGTCTTCCAAACTTAGAACTATCTAGACAGTCTTTCTTGAGTGGAGGTGATAAATGTGATAACCACGAGTAAGTAATAATTATATACGCCTAATGCTAACAATCAAAACTAACATCAACAAGAAGACTCCACTATGGCTCCTTTTAAAGCAAAAAATAATCATGAGCCAGATACTCCTATGTTGTTAACTGCCATCAGAAGACCCAACTCATAGAGGTCCCAAGCACAGTGAGAAGTCAAATCCTGGCCCTGTCTTGCACTGTTTGAGTGGCTGAGTGGCTATCATTGACTGATCATTAGAGGCATATTTAGGCTTATAGCAGGGCCTTTTGTCTTGTTGTAGAAGCTCAACTGACATCTGTTTGGCATCACAGCAACATGCACGCCCCAACCGATAGATGGGCAGTACTGATCCTGAATTGCATGGGCTGAGAAGGGAACCTGAGAGGTTGAAACCAGGATGTTCCCTGGAGGCAAGGACATCATGCTTGGAAGAGTGGAGGGCCAGAGAAAGAAAGGAA